GGTACAAGGCTACAGTTATGGTTTAATCATTCTTTATAACTTTTCCTCGCGTAAATAATACCTCGTATTCTAATCTCTGTACGTTGTGTTGTGACTAGTGGTAGTGCTACTTGTAGTTTGTACAGACAAAGCTAAGTTCACATGTTCGAATCTCTATTTACACAAAATTGATTTTGTGTGTTTCGATACTTTTAGTGAAGTGGTAATAGTAATCTTTTGTGCTTGAAAACACGATGTTTCCTGACGGGAACTTCATCGTTTTGCCACGGCAAATGCGTGTTTCTTCACTAGAAAGTAGTCTGTTCTCCGGAGAAACACGATGTTTCTAAACAAAAACTTCACATTTTTCCCAGCGGAAATGCATGTTTCTTCAGTTTAAGGGGATCTTTTGACCGGAAAAACACGATGTGTTTTCACAAGAATTTCACCGTTACCCAGGGCATCTGCATGTTTCTTCACTAGAAGGTCATCTCTAGTCCTGAAAAAAACGATGATTCTGCACAAGAACATCATCGCTTTCCCGGGGCGAATGCATGTTTCTTCACTCCGAGATCCTCTCTTCTCCACAGAAATACAATGATTCTTCACAAGCAGTTCATTGTTTTCCGAGGGCAACTGCATGCTTCTTCGCTCCAAGATCATTCTCCAAAAATTCACCTGGCTTCACTTTCAAGGAAGGCGGCGTGAAGAACAGGAGAACCGAGCAGTTTCCAAGAGAAAATGTCGTTTCTTAAACTGTTTTTTGGTCAGTATAAGCTTTAATCTGTCAGAATACAAGCGGAAAAATGTCTTGTGAAGAGGCATCGTGTTTTTGAGGAGAAGAGATGAGGTTGTTACGAAGAGATATTGGCTTTATCAGGAGGAGAGATGAAGTTCAGATGTGACCTGAGCAATATGTTACGTCGATTTACTGTAAAATAACTATCTACATTCTCTGGCAGACTGTTCCACTCTATTGTAGTCTCATGAAAAAGTGTATATGCAACCCGGTTGTTTTTTTGCGGTAATAGTTTTTACTTTTTGCGTATTATTTCTATGTGAATCTGGTGAAGGAGATAGAATATTAGTATTTACGATTTCACGCTTCAACAATTAACCAAATGTATATTAAACCAGGTAATAAAGCAGATAGTAAACGTATACGTGTTTATTGTCATTGTTCGTGATAGGTTGTTGTTGATTTTGTTTTATTGTTAATAATTTGGTTAAATATGGTAAATTACTTTTATTTAATTCTGACTTTAATAATATAATGACCATTCGTCATTTTGTAGCATGATTTATTTTTAATGTCAACTAAATCAGGCGAAGGAACTTAAAAATTTCTAACACGTCTTGGTAATACAGCTGTTGTACAAACAGCTCAAAAGATCGATTTGAGGGCCATCTGAAAAACTGTGTAATGTTCTATTCTGTACTTACTTAAGTGGTCGAATGCAGTAGCTATGAATGGTCACATCGGTCTTCGATTCTTCTGGATGGATTGAAGGAGTACGCCAACGCTTGCAAGATTTTGCTAAGAAAGTGGACAAGAAACTTTTCTATCTGAGTTAGTTTTTACCTTGACCGCTCACTCTGGACTCTTTTATCGCTATAGCCCAAAATATATCTGTAGAAGATACTCGAATATGGAACAAGATGATGTGGTGGACAAGATCGATTTGAAAAATTTACTTGATAATGATCAAACTTCAAATTATGGATCAATAAAGAACAATGAACAAGAAAATTCGTCGCCATCGTATAGACAAGATATCTAGAACACACTCTCACTCTCTCGTTCGAGATACTTACTTAAAAAACTAGCCTCGTTTGACTTTTGTCGGCTTATCAAAATTGCTGATTTTCACTAGAACTAGTATCCATTTCAAAGAACAACGCCCATGGATAGTTTTTGAATAATTAGAGAACAAAAAGTGATGATAGAGATGAACTATTCGCCATCTTGTAGAGTATACTTTACTGCACCTTTCCATTTATTCTAAGATTTTTGTAATTGTGACAAATGTTTTCTTTCTCCACTGTGAACGAGTTTGACTAGTAAGAGGATGGATGATGTGAGGATATAGATCCTCTAGTGGCTAACTCTAATCGTAGTAGTGAAGCTATAGTGAGAATCAACTCTCACTCCGATACCTTTATTTGAAGCAAATGAACAACTATATATAGTACAAAGTTAAACAAGAGTTGCTCATGAATTACATAACAACAGAAATAGTTAGGAAGATCACAGACTGACAAAAGTGTTGCGCAAGAACAGAAAGAGTGGGAAAATACTTTGCGGAAGGAAACGAAAAGGAAAGAATGAAACAGGAGTTGCGCAATAAGAAAGATACAAGAGCAGAATGGAAAGAGAATGAACCTTATGAGCTGCCGAGGAAGGCAGATCATAACAGATGACCACTTATGAAGATCAAACCATGCAGTATCAAACCATGCAGTATTATTACTATAAAATTGTGACGTAATGTCTTTCTCTACTGTGCCAGAACTACGATTGGTAAGAGGATGGGTGACCACTTCCCAAGATCGAACCATAAGTATCTCAACAGTTGTTTAGTGAGAGTTACTAGATACAGTTTAAGTTGAAAAGGATGACTCATTTCTGATAGATTGAAAAAAATACTTAATGTAGAGAAGCAGAACATGTGCATTGTTCAGTGGTAACGTGCTTCGCTCTCGTCGTGTGAAAGTTATCGTTCTTTGTTCGATAAGAACAAGGAATAGTAACACCCTCATACGGTGTGGATGGAGGTGCTTCTCATGCCTTAACTCTGTCTTTCTCGAGGGAAACCACCTGATAAGACCCTTGAGAAAGGTCGAAACCGGTCGCGGTATCTTCTTTTGATTCTTTCAGAAATAAATTCTGCCTGAGTTTCTAGTGACAGAAATAGCGGTTGTAAAATTAATAGATATAATTATCTTAAGTCGAGTTTCACATTAATATAAATGTGAAATAACATGTTTTGGCTATTTTCACCGAAAATAAAAATTCATAACTCAATCAAAGGGATCTAAACTATTCCAGAAACCGAGGTACTTTCTACTGATTTTTAAAACTTTCGTTAAATATAAAATAAAATGCGATAGACAAAGTGCACAAAAGTTTTAAAAATCAGTAGAAAGTACCTCGGTTTCTGGAATAGTTTAGATCCCTTTGATTGAGTTATGAATTTTTATTTTCGGTGAAAATAGCCAAAACACGTTATTTCACCTACTATGGGTTTCCACTAGGTTTTTGAATTTTTGTCCTGATAACAACCATTGCCATGAGACTCGGTGTGGTCGAAAACCTATGTTTGCATATATTTTCAAGACTGGCAGACCTAACTAGACTGAGATAGGTAGATCTCAGTCAAACCTATACTGTGCGAGAACTATGATAGCTAGTGATTTCGGACTTGCACAGTTTGCTAGGGAGCACCTTGGGCCATCTAACCATGTAATTTAAGTTAACGCTTCATCTTGACTTCAATGTCTGACGGCCTCTTCCTTTTTCGCCCATTAGATACACCATGCACAAATCGCGATTTTGAAACACTCGTAAATAAATGGAAAGGTGCAGTAAAGTATATTCTACAAGATGGCGAAAAGCGCATAAATTCGAATGCAAATCTTGTTAGGGTTTTCAAATTAGCCTAATCATGGACAGTCTATACGATATCTGATTGAATTATCGATCGGAGTCAATGAAATATTTATAAAAGAAGTCGAAAATCTTGAAGCAGTGCAAGTGCTGTGGATGAGTACGACTTGTCATATTAAAATTGAAGATTTGAAATATACAAACTATAAAACAGTTATAAAATATTTTGGAGATTCATTGAGGACAACTGTTTTGAAACCTGTTCAATCTATGTTCATAACTTACTTCAGATTTAGAATCGGTTACAAAACTTGGGACCATTTTTCAGCGATCGCGGTAAATCAAGATCTGATCAGATACCCAATGATCTGTATAAGATCGTAATAGGTCTTGATAGAAAATTGAGAAATCTTTGAAGAAAAATTAAGATATTTGTTCGAGATTCTTCTCCTAGGTAGGTTTTCATTCTATATATATTTCAAGACAAAACTTTTTTTATTTAAGCACAGTAAAAGCTTTCGTTGATTATTGTTGTCGGCCATTAAATAAATATGCAAAATTCAATAATCATGAAGAAGAAATTCGAGAAAAAGCAATTAGAAGTACATTTAATCTGCTATTTCGCTACGCTGATCGATGGGATTTCATACTATTTGTACTGGCTACTTGTCTATCAATCATAGGTGGTCTCGTTTACGTTGTCTATATTCTCCTTTTCGGCCGTTCAATTAGTACGTTTGCGACACATCTTATGCCATTGTGTCATTTAAATTACCGAGGGTTGAATAAACATTGCCCATTTAATGTTGAACTGAATCAATTGAATTATTTTCCTTATCATAAGTACATGCATCATTCATTATTTTTCACATATAGTAATTTACAGTATATTCTCTTTTTTTTCCACTATCATAGACATTGCAATATTGAGCGTAATTTCAATTCAACATTTTTGCCAACGTCAGAGTTTCATCATGATATTTATCAAAACGTTTATTATTTCCTTGGTAAGTTTCACTGAGATTGTTCAACTAAAGATACGAAACTATTATTTGAAAATTAGGTTTTGGTATTCTCATGTTTATATTGGTTTGTTTCGGTCATTTGTTATTTAATATATGTTGTGAACGTCAAACAAATCGTCTACGTATTTCGCTATACAGAGTTCTGTTACATAGAGTATGTTTATGTCACAGCACGAATATACAACCTATAACGGATGTTTCATAAGTTCTGAGTCTCGACAAACACTAATTTATATATAGACAAGGAATAATCAACTGAGTATAACTAAAAACACATCAGATATTTGGAACATCGAACTGTCTACTCGAAGGTCATAAAGTTATGTTTATTTAGAGATCTTTCCTCGTCTATATATAAATTAGCTTTTGTCGAGGCTCAGAACTTACAAAACAGCCTTTATCTATTCTGTGCTGTTTAGAATATATCGTATTTTGATACGCAAAAAACTGGTGTATTAACTATGAAATTATCATCGTACGTTCCATGAGTATACCGCAGCATTATTCCTTCTATACAAGTCTTTTAATTTCTGTGTTTAGGAATATCGATAAAATACATGATGGCGTTGGTCACACGCTATTTATTATTTTTTATGGAATAGTTGTCCCCGTTGCTTGTAGTATATTAGCTTTCATCACAAATTGGAAACTAACGTTAATTACATTCATCACTATACCATTTATGATATTAGCATCGCTGATATTTTCTAAAGTAAGTGATCAATTAGGTGTTGGACTTTGTGAGTCGTTTCTGTACATATAGTTAACAGCTCAAATAACAAACATATGCGAAATCAGGTGCAGCCGCACAAGAGATATTTAGTTCAATTCGAACTGTTTTTGCTTATAATTCTTCCAACTATGAAGAACAACGGTAATTATGCATTTACGGACTGAAATGTATTTATCTATTGCTCAATTATCGTACAGTTATGGAAGACATTTAGATTCTGCTAAACAGCAAAATATAAGAAAAGGAATTCTACTTGGTAGTTTTTGGGGTGCTCCGCGCGCCGCGGTGAGCAGTTCGAAATTGTGAGACAGACTTCCGAGAAAGTAAATGCTTTCGACAATAGCTGTAAGTACCTAAAAATAAATGGCAGCTTTTAACTACACTTTGAAATTGATGAATAAAAGTGAACACACACACTTACAATAACAATATGTCCAATAAGCTTATCTGTATTCTTTCCATTATCGTTTTGAATCAATCGAAATCCAGCGAACAGACCAATTGCATATGTGACGCATACCAACATGTAATAAACACAAGCGACAGAAATCTGGCATATTTTCGACGAAGAAGTTTGTACAAAACTTTAAGGAAGCCGTCCAAAACAATGGAATACATCGAATGTATACAGAGACTATATTCTCTCAACTTTTTTTTTGCACTTGATTTGCGAGACGAGAAAGAAAGAGAAAAATCTATTATAAGGGTAAGGGTGACAAATTTTCGTTTTCTATGAGTTGCACAGTCGAACTTAATGCAAAGCTGAACTATATGTTTTTGTCTAATGAACGAAACGAGAAAATACATTATTTTATCTGTTAGTCCAAATGTTGGTCAGAAATAGGCAAACCGACAAAAATTTAGTTGAAAATGACCTACTCAATAAGGAATAAAAATTCTAGTTTTGTGTAGAGAAATACATGCATTCAATTGTTTTTCACGGCTTCCGTTATGAAGTAGAATTTTAAATAATCATTAAAATTCAACCGATATCGGGTGTAATTCGGATCAATGGTCGTCCAATTCAAGAGTATGATGTGAAATGGCTATGACAACAAATTGGTGTTGTTACCCAAAAGCCGGTTCGTAATCTTCTCTTTATTTTGATTTACATACAATTTCTTATGTGTAGGTTTTGTTTGATACATCGATTTATGAAAATATTTTTTACGGCAGTAACAACAAAAGCAAAGTATCGATGAGTGAGCTCCAAGAAGCAGCTAAA